AGCGATTCACACATTTTACTTACGGTGCCTACTGTTCGCTTGACTCAATTATCTATCTCTATATCTACGCAATTCTATCTTTTCGGCTGGCTTTATTCGCCGGGCTTATATACTATAAAAGAGAGCGCTTGGAACAAACTAGTTGCCAGGAAAATTCATGATCCTTCGAGAAACTCCAGCGCGCATACTCCCAGCGTTGCGTGACTTCCGCTGTCGTAACAATAATATTATTTCTAGATATTTCGAAAATTCTCCTGATCATAACACTCACAAACATTCTAAGTACTCTAGAAATACTTTTAAAAACTTGCATCACCTTAATGTCTTTAGCAAGTAAACAAATTACAACATTAAAAATACAGCTTACAACAATATATTTCCTTATACAAAAAGACTAAAACTGTACAGAATATTCCATGTGAAGCCTAACTAGTGATTCGAATAAAGGATTAAAAGAGATACACCCGTCTATTGACTTCTAATCAATGTTTACAAATACATCCTAAACTTACATCAACTTTACTACTGGCAGCAGAGCATTTCCTCGATGTCTTGAGTGACTTATCGACAACTATATCAAGAATTTGTATGCAGTCACGCTGTCATATGCAGGTATATCACATGTTGTACTTGTTATTAACAATGGTGGAATTTTCCAAAAATTTCGTTTATCTAGTTTTAGGCATTTTAGAATAAACGGGTAGTTCTTAATACTGTTGAAGTTGCCTTGTTTCTATTGATCTTTATAGCAGATAATACCTACTTTGCCCCAGGAAATATTGCGGTATATTTGACTTAAATGTTAGAAGGGTCAACAACTGTAATATTCTTTGATAGCCGAATGGACGATGTCTGTATGTTGCAGCTAGTGATTGCTTTGAGAGAACAATAGTCACATAGTGACACCCTTGTAAAAGGAAGGATACGAGCTTTCTTCCAAAATAGAAGCAACTATTCGTTCCCAGTTCTTGATTGTAATTAGTTTGCCAGAGATTCATTTTGCAAAATGGAAAGCTGGTGATATTCTTAGTCGTTAGAACTCAGTTCCTTTCTTGTTTGTGCATGTATCCATGATGTTTTTTTTTTTCTCGTTGTAATAAATATTGTGTTCATTTGCTCAAACTTGCCCAGTATTTATATTTTTCACGTAAGATTAAAGCTTAGTCAAGTTTCCAAATTCAGATGACTTCAAAGTTTCCTGGTCGACCCTTCTGGTAATTAAGGAAATATATCTAATACTTCTGCAGAAATCAGTTTTACTTGAAAATACCACAAGTAGATAGGAAGGTGAAATTTTGGTGTTAGGACCAGGATTTATTGCACAATATCTGTTTTTGTTAATGTACATACCAGCTCTAGCTCGATCTTTTGAGTTGTTAAAAGTTTAAAGGAACACTTTTGCTGTTACAATAGCATATTTTGGATGTAGAAGTATTTATGACAAAAAGTTCATTGTTGGAGAGAGATGTTTGCAGGAAGAAAGCGTCGAGTCTGAAAGAAGCTCTCTTCTGGACACAGGACTTTCACCCATGCTACAAAGATTTATGACATCAGTCAGCCTGCAATCATAGACTCAGAGGATTCTCTTACAACTGGATTACTCAGACCGATAGAGTAAACCATATCCCTGAGAATCAATTTCAACAAAATAGGATCTAAACCAGTTACTAAAGTGTTTCAGGCAAGTAACTGTCTGGAATAGATGGTTTCAGGAACAGGCTGCCCAACACCTGATCCTAAACTTAGACGGTGTTCCACTCAACACTATTGAATGCCTAGGCAAGAAGCAACAGGAGGACTTCGAAACATCCACAAATGAGCTGCACCACTGGTTTGACTCAGTAGAAAATCAGGTGGGTTACTGGTCTGACCTAAAGGCTCATAAGAGGATCATTACTAAGAGACTGGCCACATTCATGGACAACTGCACCAATTTCAAAGGGCCTACAAGGCAATGGTATCTGCAAATTGTGATTGTATTCTGGATAATAATTTCACTGAGGAAATACTCAATGAACACATGTAACACCTGGGTGTGAGGGACATCTTCACCTTAACATAAATGGATCAAATGTCTCAGTAAGCTGTATCAATGGGATACATGCTGCAACAACTGTAATGCCTCTGTCTGGACACTGTCCAAGACAGGAAGAGCAAAGTGTATTCTTTGCTTGTGGACTGATAGGCACTGGTGAAGTAACTGCAAGTAATTTGGCAAGCAGCAAAAATGGCAGAGCAACCAGTTTCAGCCAACAGCTCAGTGGTGCTAATCAATCCCTAATGCCAGGAGTTTGCTTAACAGCAAAATAGGCAAAGTTATAAGCACCAGCTGTCAGATCATCAAACCCATGATAACCAGCATTAATAATTTAATACAACCCTCTGTTTTCTTCCATCCAGTCACTCTTCTATCCAGTTAGCTAACTCATCCTCCCACACCTATAGAGATAATTTTTTTACAAGCCGTTTATGTAGCACCTTGTCAAATGCTTTCTGAAAATACAGATACACCAAATCTACACCTTTACCCTAATTTACATAAGCAGTAACCTTTTCAAAGAATGTCAATAGATTTGTAAGGCAAGATTTTCCCTTAGTGAAACCATGTTGACTCTCCAATAAAATTCTAAACTTTTCTAAATGTCTTTGCAAAGTATCTTTTATCAGACTTTCAAAAACTTTTCCCACAACTGATGTAAGAATAATGGGTCTATAATTACTGGGACAATTTTTATCACCTCCCTTGAAAAGAGGAGTAACACTACCCAACTTCCAATTCTCTGGCACCTGCTCACTATTCAAAGACTTACAAAAAATAGTAGCAAGTGGCTCACATATCCAATCCTTAATCTCTTTCAAAACCCTTGGGAAAATATTATCTGGCCCAAAAGCCTTATCATTCTTTATGTTTAATTTTAATTGTTGGCATGAAGATAAACCTGAAACAGAAATGGGAGGTAAAGTTTGATATACAGGCATTTAATATATTTTTTACCTCCTTTTAGTTATGTAGGAATTTTCATTATTTTTTGCTTATCTAGTTTCTAGACAGTTTTAGCATGGATGTTATGGTCTACATCGCTTAAGTGTTAGAAGGGTCAACAAATGCAATGTCCTTTGGTGGCCAAGTGATTGTATGATGTCTGTATGTTACAGATGACAAATGCTGTGATAAGTCAGCAGTCATGTGGTGACACCCTCACAATAGAAAGAATATGAGCTTTCAATTCATTCTCAGTTCTATCTGGTTTTTGATAATAACTAGTTTGACAGAGATTCATCTTACAAGACAAAAGCTTGATGATGTACTCAGTGATCCTGCAGAAACAAATGTCCTTTTGCTTGCATAAGTAGGAATGCTGAATTTCTTTTTGTTTTATTTCAATAAAGATTGTTAATTTTCTCAAACTTGTCCAGTATTTTTATTTTTCACAGAAGATCAAAACTCAATCAAGTTTTCAGATTCAGATTATTCCCAAATTTCCTGGTTGATCCTGCTGTTATCAAGTGGATCTATCTAATACTTCTACAGAAGTCAGTTTTGTTTGAAAATTCCACAATATTATTGAGTAGGTTTCTCATCTATATTAAACACGTGATCCAAATTATGATAACTCAGATGCATTGCCTTACACTTACCATACTTAAAAGTCATTTGCCAAGTCTTTGTCTAAATTATCAATTGATTCAATTTATTCTGTAATGCCTCAACATCTTCAATACATAAAAGTTTAATGCCATTAGCAAACTTCAACAATGTACTAATTATTCACATATCAATATCCTTAATACAGATAAGAAAAAACAAAGTCCAAGGTACTGATCCAATCGGGTTGTGGTACTCTCAGGTGAAACTGATTTCCCCACAAGTATTAGATAGTTCCACTTTATAATGAGAGGATTAATCAAGAATGTTACAAAGTAAATATGAGTTTGACTATATGACTGAGTTTAAGCTAAGAAAATAAACAAACTAGACTTAGGACATAAGATGAAACACTATCTTTATTATTGTTGCAAAGTAAAGAAACAAAGAGTGCACACTTGCATAGATGCTGGGCAGTCACCTTCTACACAAGCAGTGAATTAGAAAGTAGCTTTCATTTCTCTAGAAATTTTTCCTATCAACATAATCAAGCTAAAAACCTGGTAGAATTGATGCAAATCACACATTCTGTACTAACAGACATTGTCTGATTTACCCATAATGATGCATGATACCACATGACTGGTTGTTATCATACAACATAGTGAAGGCTGTAACCTCTAGATATTATCTACTTACCCAGTGACCTGTTCTAAATTAATCTGAAATATCAGGTGTTTATAATGCATGTCTGGGTGGTTGTGATCTGATGCTTCCCAATAATGATTGTCTTAAATTACCAAACTTGAAACAGTAATTCATATCAAATTTATTTCTTAGTTCTTAGTAACAATAGTTCACAAGGTTGAAATTAAACCACAGCACTATTAATTTGTCAAATCCTTGGAACTTTCTTTGCAACACATATATGTAATATTCAAGACATTTTTCTTTCTTCAATATCATATACAACAAAAAACAAGAAGTGAAATTAATCATATAGTAACAGGAGTCTATTAAGTTCTTTGTGATCCATAGTAATTAATGCACTACATTTGGATTCACACTGAAATTATTGAAAAAAAAAATGCAGAATTAAATTCTAAGAGTAAAAAATAAAATAAAAAGTAGAAAAACTTTTACAGTACAACAACACGTATCTAGAGTGAACTGGCTTTTAGAACTGCTTTAAATCAATACATTTTAACTGAAAACCAGAAAATCCCTGAATAAGCCACATGTTACAAGTTTTATACCATAATTTTCTCTCTCCAAAGTTCTGTACCACTTGCTAAAAAATTCCCACTTTACTCTCCTGAGAATGGATCAAATATTGTTGTTTTACCTTATCATTACTTCTAAATTCTTTCCCACAACTTTATGGATCATTTTCATTATGAGGAATAGAGCATACTTCCACAAGAAGTGTAAACATTCTCTTTTTACAAACCAAGAACTGTATGATTTCTTCTCATGCATGGTCACTATATATTTTATATTGATTGCTATACAATCTCTCCTATATGAATCTTTACATGTTTTTTTAACAAACTACTACATCTAAAATCTTTGCCACAAACTAAACAGCTGTAGGGTTTCTCTCCTGTGTGTATCAATAGATGAGCTTTCAGGTGACTATTTCTTCTAAACTTTTTAACACACACTACACAACTGTATGGTTTCTCTCCAGAGTGTATCCTTAGGTGTATTTTTAGTTGACTACTCGTACCAAATTTTTTACCACATACCACACAACTATATGGTTTTTCCCCAGTGTGTATCATCTCATGTTTTTTTTTAGTGCTACTACTTCTAAATCCTTTGCCACACACTACACAATTGAATGGTTTTTCTCCAGTGTGTATCTTTTCATGTATTTTTAGGTCACTATTATTTCTGTACTGATTCCCACATACAACACAACTATATTGTTTTTCTCCACTATGTATCTTCTCGTGCTTTTTTAGCAAACTACTACTTACAAAATCTTTGCCACAAACTACACATATATAAGGTTTTTCCCCTGTATGTATCCTCTGGTGTACTTTTAGGTAACTATTTCTTCTAAATTCTTTGCCACACACTACACAACTGTATGGTTTCTCCCCAGTATGTATTCTCAGATGTATATTATGTTGACTATTTGTACCAAAGCTTTTACCACACACCACACAGCTGTAGGGTTTCTCTCCAGTGTGTAGTCTCTCGTGATTTTTCAGATCACTATTTCGTCTAAATTCTTTACCACACGTAGCACAACTGTATGGTTTCTCCCCAGTGTGAATCTTTTGATGTATTTTTAACTGAGTATTTGTTCCAAATTCTTTTCCACACACCACACAGCTGTAGGGTTTCTCTCCAGTGTGTAACCTCTCATGTTTTTTAAGATCATTATTTCGTCTAAATTCTTTGCCACACTCTATACAACTGTATGGTTTCTCTCCAGTATGTATCTTTTCATGTTTTTTTAGGTTACTATTATTTCCAAATCCTCTGCCACACACAACACAATTGTAGGGCTTTTCACCAGAGTGAATCACTAGATGTTCTTTTAGGTGACCATTTTTAGCAAATTCTTTGCCACAAACTTCACAACTAAATGGTTTCTCTCCAGTGTGTGTCTTCATGTGTTCTTTTAGGTGACTATTTCTTCTAAATTCTTTGTCACAAATTGCACAACTATATTGTTTCTCCCTGGTATGTATCCTCTGATGCAATTCAAGTTTATCTTTACTGCCAAATCCTCTGCCACACACAGAACAACTGTGTGGTTTCTTCTTAGTATGAATATTAAAATGTCTTTCTAAAACGCTTTTTCTACTAAAATATTTATCACACAACACACAACAAAACTGTTTATATCCACTGTGGAAAATCTGACACTTATTAAAGTTACTTTCTGTTGAATATTTTTTCTGAAACACATCATCATAGCTTGATCTCTGAGATTCACCATATTTTGTATCCATAATTTCTTGTTTGGAAACATTATAATCAGAAGGTTGTCTTTTGCAAGGGTTGTTCACATGAGTCTTTGGATCTACAATAAAAAGGTTGGAGGCAAAAAAAAAAATTATAGCAATTAACAACTTTCTAAATAAATTCTGGGATTCTTTGATAAAATAAGTCCTTCAAATAATTGAAAGTACCCTTTGTATGATAAAGAAAGGTATGTATTTATGTCAATGTACAGGTTTCATTTCAGAATGTTCCCATGAAAATGTAGCACACAAACAGACTGCTAATGACATAAAACACCAACAGTTTTCTTTCTTGAATTAACATTAAATCACTAAACCCAAAATAATCATACATACAAAATTTAAAAGAAACACAATGGCTCAAGAACATGTAAATGAATAACATGATATGAAAAAATTTTCAAACCCAACAGCTTCCCAATACATTAGTTCAGTCAGTGGTCTCCATTCAGTAGACTGATAACGAGTAAATCTATATATATATATAAGCTCGATTGGCTCATTCTCTCTCTGTGAATCTGTTCCTTATGCATGGCCACATCCTTAAAGCTACAAACTAAACTTGGGGTACAGATACAACTTTGTGTGGGAAGTAACATGGGCTATGTTGCCTCGGCCTCAGAGGCCATTTTTAGACCTCAAATTGAGGTCAAAATGACCAATATAGTAATTTATGGCAAACAGGACAACCAACTGGTCTCAAATTGAAAAGGCCTGATTTATTTGGTAATGTGTGAACAAGAGGGCTATTATTTACGTTTCTTCTCTGGGCAAGGACTTCTCCTAATCATTCTATCCATGACCAATTATGTGTTAAAATAATTTTAAAACTTCGTGGAGCCTTCGTTTGCTTCTCTGCTCATAATCTCTTTTCTTTGATCCTGACAGCAAGATAAAGATATTGTGTACAAAGAAGCTTTACAGTAGATCAATAAATGAGCATGTAAATAATGAACTAAATTAGTTAAAGCCATTTTCATCCGAGCAATGCCAAGTACTCTGCTAGTGAAAAATATGACCAATGCAATAACTTTCTTGAACTTGCATCATATAACTACTGTACCTCCAAATATGTAATAGTGATGCATTTAGATATTAGAAAAAGAAACATAATGATTCAATAATAAGAAAAGGTATTACAGAGAATGAAAAAATCTGAAGAACAGTAAGCTATTCTTTAACAGAATAAAACCAAAAAAAGACCATCATCTGCAATAATCAGAAATATACACGTTTACCACACATCAGAAGAACAGTGTAAAAACTTACAAAAATCTTCAGTAAACCTGACTGCATGATATGACTTAGTTATAAGCTTATTCTGAAAACAGTCTTGATAAAAATTAGAACCTTTCTGTGTTCATAAGGTAAAGAAAATAAAAGTGATTTACAGCACGACATGTGGATGAGGTAGGAAATTTACTAAGGAAAATGGGTGCTTAATTAAAAAAATGTGTTAAATCAAATGTCTACATTAATTCTGAAAGTATGTTAAGTTAGCTTTACCTCCAAAGAGGAATGAGACAAATCCATAACAAAGGTTATAAATAAATCTTAAGATAACAGAAACTGAAGATGAGCATTAAAACCACACACATTGAAGTTCCAAGAAAAAAACTACGTGTGATGAATAATTTATCCTGTTCTACCAGATCAAATTCTATACCAGGTGTCACTAAACGGCAATGATAATAATAGATACAAATAATCATCTACACACACACACACTGGAATTCACAGAGCCCGGAAATGGTGTGACATTAAGTCATTTGTAATATAAGTAACACATACATTGGTTAATTCTAGTACACCATTCACCCACTGTATGGTGAACTTTACATTCCAGTATATTTAAAGTACTGATCTTTCTAACTTTCACAGTTTCTGGACATTTATTTTTAGCTTATAGAGCTTGTACTATTATTTACATTGACATTAATTACTCAAGCTGAACTGATTCTAAAAGTTTTGTTATACTGTCCCGCCAATTAGCATTGTACAAGGTTTACAATGAACAAAGTTTTGTCTCAAATAATTTTTCAAGTCTCTTTCTCACCTAACTATGCTATACCCAATATCTTATCATTTGAAATTGAAACTAACACCAAGAAATCTGATGAAAATTATTGCAAAGTAGCTAAAAGCTTTTTACACACAAGGTTTTTAAACATGTGTCACATTTCATTTCACAATTGGTTGATAGATGGTATGATGTTTCTGTCATGTCATTTTCTTCAGATTATTGTATATTTGGAAGGAATAGTTATGTACACTGGAAAACAGCAGGTTATGAATGAAGTGTAACTTGATATTTCACAGAATATTCTTCTTGCAAATTACACATAGTACTGAAAAAGTCAATATGACTGAGTGAATAAGGTCTTAGAACAGGTCTTTTTTATTGGACAACACTTAGTATTATCACATGCTTTGAAATTATTATTCACAGTACAGTGCATATACCTGTAATAACATCAAAATGAAATTTCTAGAGTAAAGTGAAGTTCCAGAGCAAAACAGAAAGTAGTTCTTTGATAAATTGTTTAGACAGAGTATTCAAGATGAGTACACTAGAATGGGTGGCAATTGCCTGTTGTAGACGATGTTTTGAAAGTCTTCTGTACTTTCCTCTACACTTGTGTTTATTCTACAACAGGCAGTTCTAGTGTACTCATCAGAAGGAAGTTTTCATAAAGTAAAGTGGATGGTGCCAGAACAAACCCAAGGAGACCACTGTGAAATGAGAACGGTAAAGGAATGTAACAAACAGCATCTCACTGAGTTTTTCTCATTAACATTCCTCTTAATTAGTCATTTACAGATTTCTAATAAGAAATGTATGAAAGCAGCATTTCAGACCACAGCTTGCTTGGAACATCCTTCATTCAAAAGCAGAACTCATCAGCTAAAACTGGGCAATAAAGTGGTATTTGTTAATCACTTAACATTTAATTAATTGATTTTTATGTGGCCTTTAGATCCCGGAATCCAGCAAGCACAAAAAATGAGTTTGTGTATGTATGCTAGCTTCATAATTTTTTTCAAGTATTGCATTATTTGAATATGGTATTAATCTTTCCATTTTCATTCAAATTGTTATCCTAGCTAATCTTGGTTTCATATGATAGACTGTTCTGAAGGTTGTCATTTGCTCATTTTACAAAAAAACATAATTTTTGGCGAAAAACAATATTTTGCTACAAATGTTTTTCAAAGATATTTTTGACATACCACTAAGTGGTCACCATTATGTTTCTTTTAAAATATGCAGTAATCCCAAATTAATTTTCTGTAAATCAAATTAATAGATAATTAAATAAAGAATGGATATTTTGCTATCACTGATAATGGTTATAATGTTTTTATCTAGAGCATATCATGATTACAATTAGAAATAATTAAGTAGCCAATTAGATAAACATAAACATAACATTTGATAATGATCTGAATCATCAGAATAGTTAGTTGTCACTTATCATACTCACTAAACAGTAATCTTACCTGACTTGATGAATATTTTATTTTATTATGTAAACATAATAAAAAACTTCATGTTTACAAACAATACAACTCAATAAAACCATAGTATATCTATTAAAAATTAAAAACACCATGACTTTAAACAAAGAATCAAATACCAACAAGATATAACTTTCTTAAACCTTAATCAATCTCCAGTCCTATGACTTCTTTGTTCCAAACTAGATATATGCATATATTCCTATGTCTAGGTAAACTACTTCAACTTGATGATGTACTTATGTTATTCTTTTAAACTTCTAATAGTTCTCTCTGTTACCCATTCAACTGTTTCTAAACTGTATAATCTTGCCTTATCTCAAGTTATATTATGTTTTATCACTGAATAAAATTTCCATAGCTTTCAAAAACTGATATAATTTAACACACAAATACTTTCACAATTCAGGAACTGAACCAAACATTTATAGAAGCTATAAAAAGAAACTCTTAAACCAATATATTTAATCTAATGTTACACGATAGTCAATTTCTTGCTTTATCCAATCATATTTAAACTTTCTTTATAGCTGTTTTTAAAGCTGCATTTTATTGGTAAATGATCAAACCACTTGATGTGGCAACATAATAAGGTTTCAACCAAGGCCTGTACAAAAACTAAGAAAAGGCTTGAAAATTGAGGGATGGTAGGTTATTAACAACAATAAAGTTACTCTATGGGATGCAAATCAACAAGAGAGCTGTTTTGTTTACTGGCAAAACTTTTTGCAACCGTGCAGACATGAAAATATTACTATTTTTTCTTCATGAATTACACAAAATAAATGTCATAAAATAATAAAATATCATTTCTAAAATATTTTCGACTTGCAATTGTTGAACTATAGTTAGAATTAACATATAAAATTGACTTTAAAATTTATATCTTAAAAATTTTCTACCAAGTGATGAAAGACAAAAAGTCAGAAGAAACTGTCTTTCGACTTCTGACACAATAATTTATAGCTAAATCAATTTTTTAATCCTCATCTTTCATAAAAATGTATCATACAAGCAACACAACATCATTATTTAACATTTAGAAACAATAAAAGATTTATTCAATTATCAGTCAGCTGTTGCAACAACAGTGTGTACATTTCTCCAGACTTGTTAATTTAGACAATTCTATTTGTTTACATGTCTCTAAGCATGTTTATGACAATGTTGGGGCCTTAGGTGTTTAATCTATAACTTCACAGTTACTCAAACACTTTGTAACCAACCAAGGGAAATAAATAATCATAATTGATTTTATTTATTAGGAAAATTAGTACTCAGCCAAAGTAAAAACCTAGTATCTTTTGATAGTTTTTGAGTAGCTTAGATTTAAAGTCAAACCCAGTGGTTCAGCAGTATATCTGCGAACTTATAATGCTAGAAACCGGGTTTTGATATCTGTGATGGGCAGAGCACAGATAGCCCATTGTGTAGCTTTGTGCTTAATTAGAAACACACAATATAAAAACTAGAATAACATTAATTTACGTTGTAAAATAAAACTTTTGATAGTTATAACATTATTATACAAAGTTTGCAG